TTCTTTCTTTCTTTCTTTCTTTCTTTCTTTCTTTCTTTCTTTCTTTCCTTCCTTCCTTCCTTCCTTCCTTCCTTCCTTCCTTCCTCTCTCTCTCTCTCTCTCTCTCACACACACACATATATATACACACACGCGCCTCCTTATATTGGGAACTGAGTGAGAAATAAATCGTGTGGGTTGTTTACTGCAAATGGCATGCAAAGTTCCCGACCTCTTCTAGTGGAAAATCTGGGGCTTCTTGGCAGCCAAAGGATGGGTAGGTTTTGTTTTGTCCCCACCCCAGTCCGAGCGTCTGAAAGCGTGAATTCAGCAACGCGGCCGATTCCCATCACGCTGACAAACGTAATGGGGCTTCAGGAATCCGGCTCAGCAGGCTCAACTTCTAGAGCGGAATTGTTGGTTTTTTTTTAGTTTTTTTTTTTTATAACAAGGCGCGTGAAGCAGCAAACGCGCCCTCTTGAACGCGAGTAACCCGAGGCTGGCCGACGGGGAAGTCGATCTCGCCCGGCCTATCTGAAACGCGGAGCTCTATTGATTGATGGCTTCGGGCTTGCAAGGGCGGGACTCTTGCTCCTTCGGCTCTGGCGCGAGGGGGAAGCGACGCTGTGTGTCGCGGAGGGGTCTTCAATAACCTTGGCGGCTTTTAAGTCTTGTGGACTTCAAACTCCCAGAATTCCTCAGTCAGCAAAGCTGAAAGAAAGAAAGTTGGAGAGCCCTGGTGTGGCGAGTGGACCCTGAAAGGCGAGCCGAGGAGCGCGGGCCAGCTTTGTCCTCTTCTCCAGCGGGCGCCTGGTTCCCTTTCCATCTGTGACGCTCCGCGCCCGGTTACGGACAAGCAAGGAGCGTGCGGGTTGTGCGAAGCTCGGGATTCCTTTCCTGTGCTCCTCAAGCTCTGACAGCTGGGACTAGCTCTCATAAGCCCGTTCCAATTTTGGGCAAAGCCATAATGGATGTTTGGGAAACACCCTCTTTCTCAAAAACAAGGCTCTTCAACCTTGGCGAGTTTAAGACTTGTGGACTTCAGCTCCCAGAATTCCTGAGCTTAACATGACTGGAGGAGGAATTCTGGGAGTTGAAGTCCACAAGTCTTAAAGCTGCCAAGTTTGAAGGAACCCTGCTCAAAAAGTTCTTTGGAATTCTTCAGCGCAATGCACTTTCGCTTGTTTGTTCTCTGCCCTTAAGTAGGCTCCCATCTGTTTTGCCCCCCTCCCCCCCTCTAATTTCATCACTGGCTGTGTCCACTCCTTTTGAAGCAGAAAGCACCAATCCAGATCTGGCTAGGAGTGATCTTCAAATATTTGCCTGAGATCAGCCTTTTGACACCTTCCCACCCATTTTAACATTAATGCACCAACACTGTAACTTCAGAGTTGAAGGAGCTTCTTGGATGAGAAGTGAAACCTCTTCAAAGAAAAACCAGAAAGTCCAGTTGCCTCTTGAAAAAGCACCGTTGGGACTGTAAGGTAAAGGTTCACCTCGCACAATTGTTTCTGGCTGTAGGGGGCGATACTCCTCTCCGTTACAAAGCTGAAGAGCCAGCGCTGTCCGAAGATGTCTCCGTAGTCATGTGGCCAGCTTGACTAAATGCCGAAGGCGCACGGAAAGCTGTTACCTTCCCACCAAAGGTGGTCCCTATTTTTCTACTTGCATTTTTATATGTTTTCAAACTGCTAGGTTGGCAGAAGCTGGGACAAGGAACAGGAGCTCAATCCGTTATGTGGTGCTAGGGATTCGAATCACCAAACTGCCTACCTTTCAACATCCCCATGGTCACATGTTCAGGTGCAAAATTCAGGTGCTTGGTAACTGGTTCATATTTATGATTTGCAGTGTCCCAGAGTCATATGATCATGTTTTGTGACTTTTTGACAAGCAAAGTCAACGGGGAAGCCAGATTCACTTAACTGTATTTCTGGTTTTAACTGCAGCAATTCACTTAACAACTGTGGCAAGAAAAGTCATAAAATGGTGCAAAACTCACTTAACAACAATATGTCTTAGTAACAGAAATGTTGGGCTCAATTGTGGCTCTAAGTCAAGGATTACTTGTAGTCCCACCTTCTCCTATCCTCCAAATATTCTGCAACCCATTTCTCAGTCTTTTTTTTTTTTTTGCTCAATCTTTTCTCTTTCCTCTACTGTGTGACCACATGTCCCAGTCTCTTTCTCCCTCCCACCAACATTTCTCTCTAGGAAGAAAAGAGAAGTGAGTGCAAAGAAGTTGTGATTTGTCAGTACGAGTTACAGGGCATGAGGTCTGAGCCCAGACAACCTCCATATCTTCACAAAGAGATTGACCTCTTCTGGTAGCTCTTACCTCTCTCCAGATTCACTACTCTCGCTTCCTTCAATCCATTTTACTTGGCACCTTTATTTTCTTTAATAACACACTGCTAGTTGTACAGCTGTTTCGTTCTTTCAAGTCTCTTATTTATCTTGTTTTCTTTAAAAACATTCTCTTTCCCCTCTCTTGAATTCAGTGCTACAAAATTCAATTGGTTAATGTGTCCATTATTAACGTTATTAATCAAGATTCAGGGGAAACTGGATGGCTCAGCTACTGTTTGTATATGATATTAAAATCTATGCAAATAGTAGAATTCAGGTCTATAGAGCTTGTGTCTTGAGCACACTCTTGTACTTCAGTGAGTCTTGGATCCTTTATGCACGGCAGGAGAGAAAGTTGAACCGTTCATATGCGCTGTCTCTGACATATGCTTGGCATCACCTGGCATGACAAAGTTTCAAATAATGCGGTCTTGGAACATGCTGGAATTTCTATACTATTGAAACAGTGATGTCTACGCTGGCTTGGGCATGTCGTGAGGATGGCTGATGGTCGGATTCCGAAAGACCGCCTGTTTGGAGAATTGGTGCAGGGAAAGCGCCCTAAAGGGAGACCACAGCTGTGATATAAGGATATCTGCAAGAGGGATCTAAAGGCCTTGGGAATGGACATTAACAGCTGGGAAACCTTGACCTCTGATTGGTCAGCTTGGAGGCTAAAGGCGCAGCATGGCCTTCTCCAATTCGAAGAGACACTCGTCTGGCAGGCTGAGGCAAAGAGGCAGTCATGGAGCCAGAAAAATCTGGGGGCTGGACAGGGGACAGACTGTATCTGTCCTCAGTGTGGAAGGGATTGACACTAGATGCTGTTTTAGGACCTCTTTTCAGAGCACGATACCATAGCCTTTTGAGACTGAAGGATGCCAATAATAGTAGCATTCAGGTGTTCATTTTTTTAGTACAACAGGCTCTATTTACCATTGGCAAAACTGGTTTTCAACAAAATTAACACAGTACCCAAGATAGAGCAATTGTTCTTGTGCCAGATTTTCAGTTAAAGCTTTACAACCTTTAATTAGGCTATGAAACATCTCAATTTCAATGTTTTTTATATTTACAGTTCCTCGGTGCAATAGGTAAGATGTCTTTCTTGTTTAAAATAGGTCAAAATTTAAATGCAAAAAATGAGAATACTTTTATATGATCTTGGTCTCCGAAATCTTTCCACATGTGTAAATTTTTCACTTAATTTTTCTTTAAAACTTGTCTTGCAGTTACATATGTAAATTGACTATAGTAGTGATTATCTTATACAATCATCATTTGATGCTGATACATGTATGAACCAGCTTTCCAACTTTATAGTTTTTTCCCTGTATAAATCAAGAGTCAGTTTAGTTCAAAGGTGCTTAAAAGCATGTTTTCTTCCATTGCCTTGAAGGGTAGAAGAAGCATCACATCAAATGATAGTCAACTATTGCTTGTTTTGGAATTTTATTACTGAAACTGCTTTCCTAGTCATTGAAGTATAGTTTAATATGAATGCTTGGAGTCTTTATTTCTGAAATTTAAATTTTAATTACAATTTTATATGATACGGTAGCATCACACTCCCATTTGAATGGTCTTGTCAAAAAAGGGAGCCTGGTGAAATAAATAGAAAGGCCATGGGTAGACATTCTGGAAGCTAAGGGACATTCTGCTATTGATTAGTCTGTTTCTGCGGTGAAGATAGGAAACATGGCAGCTGAGTCTATTTCACTTGTCTTGATTTTAGATCTTTATTAATATTTTTTAAAAATAGGTGATAAATAATTTTGCCACATAGAACAGGACGGAATTTGAAAACATTAAAACAAAATAACATGGTAACTCTGTCATTTTGTTTTATCCATACATTAACTATGGCTGTATTCACAAAACAAATCAAAATGTAATACTCTTTCTTTCTTTCTTTCTTTCTTTCTTTCTTTCTTTCTTTCTTTCTTTCTTTCTTTCTTTCTTTTTTCTTCCTTCCTTCCTTCCTTCCTTCCTTCCTTCCTTCCTTCCTTCCTTCCTTCCTTTCTTTCTTTTTCTTTCTTCATATTCATTTATTCAATAAACTGTAGTTAAACAAACCACAACAGTGCAATATGAATATCCATATTTTATATGCATCCAGTTATAGCCAGTTCTCACTTGACTCACTGTTTACACTGAGGATGATTTGCTGAGGGCAAATCCCTGTTGTTATTGACAGAACCTCTTTTGCGGTTGCTGAATGCCTCTGTTCAGACAACAAGTCAAGTTGTTCCCTGTTTGCTTTATTTTTCAGATATAAATATGCCATCAAGTATGAAGGAAGGAAACCCCTCCCCCCCACAGTTCTTTGGCTTTAAATTGCAAATGAGTTTTTAAGTGGTTCCTGACAACACACACACATGCACATACATGCTTTTCATGCCTTCTAAAAATAATATCAGATTTAGCTCTAACAACAGTCACAGTGTTTTCAACACCTGCTGAAGCTGCTATTCTCTGAAGATGTGAAACAGTGCTGGACCTTTAAGAAGTCACTTTCTGAAGGAAAAAATTGTGTGTTAGGAAGGGTGAAGAGACATACATTATAATGAAAAACACCAGCACAGAAAACACTGTTAACTAAAAACAAAATGGGAAAAATCTGGTGAAATGTGGTTTTGAATTCTGGACCATGTTTAGTTTCTATTCTAACCCACAAAGTGAAGCCCTTTCAAATATTGGCTTTTTTGTTAATCTAATATACTGCCTTTAGTTTAAAGTGCAAGGTACCAAACATAGCACTACCTGCTCTCATTTTTCCCAGTACAACAACCCTGAGAGGTAGGTTGGACTGAAGTCATCTAGATACTACCACTAGCTACTATGGCTACTACAGGTCTGTTCCAGTTTTCAGTACCCTAGCCATAGTAAAATGGAAGAATTGTAAAGAAAATACCCGTTCTCCATACAGCGACTGTTAATTTGAATAGTTTACATTTTAAAAATTCCAAGCCTGTGGAGTTATTCTCTGTGAATGTGAATCCCAATTGTCCCTTTAATTAATCTTAAGATATCATTCATATATATATATATATATGGCTTAGCATTGTGTCTATAACAATCCAATGGCTGTTTTCAGTAAACCAAAGCTAAAATCACAAAGTGTTCTTTAAAGGTAAAGACTGCTAGCCAAGCTTCACTTCCTGTGACGGTGGGTCCATGGCCATATTGATTCTCGGCAACAGAACAGAAATAGTGTTTGCCTTTTCTGGGATGCTTATTAAACAAATCTGGTCTCCATTTTGATTGCAACCAAATGTTCCAGAGGAGGAGGAGGAGGAGAAGGCAGGGTGATCTAATTCCTTGCAATTTCTGGAGTTACATTGCAGGCACTTGCAGTGGGTGTGGGATCAAAAAACATTCCAACTGTTATGAATGGTGTGTTACAAAATGCATTGAGTAATGCCAGGTCTTTGACCTGAGCATTGCCTTGGGCTGGAAGTGAAATCTTTTGAATGCTGTGCTCTCAAAAATGGGTATGTTTAGTCAGGAATGTACCTGTAATTAGGTTTTCTTGCAGGAAGGTGCACAAGAAGATAAGCCGTGATTGAGTGCCATTAAAAGAAAAGTGCTCTGTCGGTTAAGCCCTCAGAACACATCAGAATTGTAGCTTTTAGTGAGCTGTACTCAATGGGATAGGAGCAAACATTCTTGATATATTTTTTGTCATCCAGATCTTTTTACACAAATTTGGATTCATGTTTTCTTTTTTAATATTTCCAGTTATAGCTGCTATAATATATAAAGAAAAAGTGGGTTGAAAAGGTTTTGAATTGATTGATAAAACTTATGTGTTTTACAAAATTGTATCTTCACAAAAGGAACAAAATACGTGTATGCAATGAAATGAAAGTTATACATGGATATATGAACTGCTATTTCTGAAGTGTTTCTCATTTTTAACTCCAGATACCACCCCCGCAATGGCTCAGTGCTTAAAGATGCTGAGCTTGCAGCTTGAAGGTTGACAGACCAGGTTTGAGACTGAAGTGCCACGCAACAGAGCTTCTGTTCTTACCCCAGTTTCTTCCCCCCCCAGCAGTTCAAAAGCATGCAAATGCAAGTAGATTAATAGAACCCCTTGGATGAAAGTAATGGCATTCCATTCTCCTATGGTGTACAACTGGCCACATGACCATGGAACTTGTCTTCAGACAACGCTGGCTTCCTTGTCTAAGAATCACAGATGAGCACTGCACCCTAGAGTCGGACACAACTTTTTTACTACCTCACCACCACCAAACACCCCTACCCCCCGCTGTAAGAGTATCCTTGTTCTTAAGTTAAAATAATATGATAACCGCCTGTGCTATTACCAAGGAAGCTGCATGGACAGTTCCATGAAATCTTCAGGAGCAGAATTCAGCGTGAAGGAGATTCATTTCATCATAGGAACCTTCAATGGGATCATAAGATTTGATGAATAACCTTCATTCATCAAATAGGAAATAGGATAGGAACAATTCCTTCGGATGTAGGGGAGGGGAGCTTATTCATTTATTAACAAAGCTAAGCTAAGGCATTCATTTCATTTCATCAGCTATCTCTGCAAACAGAATTTACATCTAGTTAATTGCATTTCAGTGCCCACTTCATCTTTGCCCTTGGCTACTGATGACATTGTCCCTTGACTTTTTAAATTTTTCTCTCTTCCTTGCAAGGAGACTCCCCCCCCTTCTATTACTGAATATGAAAACTTAAGATTTTCCTTAATTTCATACAGTAAATGTTTTCAAGCAATAAGATTGCTCTTAACATGCATTCCCCAAAGGTACTTCTATTGATGTGCTACTTTAAAAATAGGGAAAGAGCTAAATACGTATTGGCTGGTCTTCTTTCTCTCCTGGATTGGCCCAAGCATCCTCCCTCAACTCTGGCTGGTAGAATGCCTTATCTTCCGCCATCTTCATTCTCTGAGATCGAGGAGATAGGGTCTCCCAACAGGAGCCTTTACTTCAGTGATCTTTTTTCCAGATCTCAATCAGTTTCTCTTCAGCAACTTCCAGATTTACCCTTAAGCTTTCCACAGTGTAACATTGCCCAGTTTAGTTTTGGTCCATCAGGCATCCTTGCTCTATGCTGAAACCCAAACCAAATTGTTAACAGTGTGGCATGGACTACAGTCATCTTGACAGGCATTACAGGTAGTCCTCAACTTACAATAGTTCATTTAATGACTGTTCAAAGTTACAATGGCACTGAAAAAAATGACCAATTTTCACACTTACATTGCCTCATCCCTATGGTCACATGATCAAAATTCAGATGCTTGGCAACTGGTTCATATTTATGATGGTTGCGTGTCCTGGAGTCATGTGAACAGCTTTTGTGGCCTGACAAGCAAAATTAAAGGGAAATCCAGTTGCACTTTAACAACCATGTTACTAATTTAAATGCAATGATTCACTTGGCAAGGAAAGTCGTAAAATGGTGCAAACTCACTTAACAAATATTTCACTTAGCAACACAAATTTTGGGCTCAATTGTGGTCATAACTCGAGGACTACTTTATATCACTTCTAGTTCCTCTCCTCGGCTTTTCAGAATCCCCTCTATTCTTTGTTAGGCTCCCATATTTCTGATGTCATCTTAGCAGTACTAAATGAAGCTAATCTACTATCAGCTTATTTGCTCACAAAGCAAAGTGTTTGGATGTCTATATATATACATGAGCAGCCAGAAGGAAGTCATGGCTGAATGCACCTTTTATTCTTACTGCCTGAAATTCTGGCCAAATTCTACATATTACCAAATTCAGAGCTGAATTTCACATTTGTGGAAAATGGCTATATGAGGAAGGATTGATACAATAGTTGTGAACACTGGTCGCTCTGATTTTGCTAATGGTTGAAACAAGGCTCTCATTAGTTTCCCATATGGCTGCAAAACTGATAAATACCAATTTAATTTGTTGTGCCATGTAATCTGTAGAACTGGGCTTCTACTTTATGCAATGTGCTTGCCAGAAACAGTGTATTCTTGCTCTGAGCCATTTTCTGCTCTACTGAACAGAGAACATAGGCATGTCTACAAGATTAACTTCTGGTTACAGAATAATTTGTCCTATTCTAGTGTAGGGACACCTGTGTCTGCAGGTGCAACAGGACAGATATATGGTGATGCATATTTTCTTTGTACTGCAATGCTTATTGGTCCAATTGAGTTGTTTCACTGAATCTTTTGATATAGAGCATAATATATTGTAGAGTGTTGTATAGTATGCCTATAGTACAATAAGTGTCTGGACTTTTATCTTTCTTTTTTTTTTTGCAGAAATCTCTTTTTATTTTAAAATTGATTTTTTGCATATATATCATAAAAATCTAAACCCTAAAATTGCACACTGGAATTGAAAATCAAAAGGATAAGATATGTTTGCCACCTTGAGTTATTATATTTTTATCCTGCCTTTTCTTTATTCATAGCAGCAATAAAAGTAATAATACTAAGAAGAATGTGCAATAAAATTCAAAAGGAAATGCCAGTGTACCACAACCAATTAAATAATTAAAAGATAAGGATAGATTTTATGTCAAATCAATGGCTTTAGTAACATAACAATATCAAATATCAGGAGTTTGTTGCTAACTAGAAAGTCATTGGATATTTGGATACCAGTGCAGTATGTTTCAGGGATATTTTTTTGAATTGGAATGTGTGTGCCTATAAAATTAATTTCCAAAAATCTTCTATATCTTGATTTTGTTTCAGCTAGATGTGGATACCTTTAGACAAGTTTGTGATTATTTTCTTGCAGGTGGATCTATAGATTTCCAAGGCCTTCATTTCCATCTGATTTGATTTCACACCCTGCAGTTCATCTTTTTATGAGGGAATAGATCAACCCATGGTCTCAGTAAGTCATAGCAAACTGTTATCTGTTTCTGGTCCATTGCTTGCTCCAGCTTTTGATCAGCAAGATATCATATTAGATGTTTCCAAGCCTGACATGCCACCATTAAATTTACTGCAGGACTGCAGCAATGAACAAGTCTCTGTTCCAGCTGTTACCTCAAACACAGTTTCTACATCAGAGATGGGTGTTTCGTTATCAATGGTAAAGAAGGAAGTGGAGAAACCACAGAATACCATCTATGAGGCTTACCTCAAACTGCCAGATTTTTGTTCTGATGTTTCTAGAGATTTCATCCCTACATTGGAAGAGATTGAGGAGTTCCTCAATGAGAAGAAAGAACTTGTCAAGGATGAGCTGAATGACAAACAACCAGCGGGGCAACTTGAGATAAAATCTGAAATCAACTTAAGCAGTTCAGGGGAAGAGTCTACTACTGGAACTGATCTAGATGAAGGCGTTTCTAGTTCTGTTCAGGCTGGAATAGTATCTGGCGATATAAGCATGCCGGGAACTGTGGGGACAATCCCTGTTTTCCTTCAGATCCAGCCTGTCCAAGCAGAAGATAGTTCATCTCTCCAGAATTCTGTGGGTGGTATCCGGGTGGCCCACTTGATCATCAGAATGCAAGGTCAAAACTTGACTCTTTATCCTCAGGTCACTCCAAGTCCTGTGACAGGCACAGACCAGAAGTATGTACGAATAGCTCCTTTGCCTGTGGCATTGAGGCCAGAAATTCTTGGAAGTCCAAAGAGTATAGAGACCAAAGTCCCCAAAGTTTCCCCTTCGGTTATTCGAGTCCACAAGTGTACACATCCTGGATGCACCAAGATGTATACCAAGAGTTCCCATCTTAAGGCACACTTCCGACGTCATACTGGAGAAAAGCCTTATACTTGTACTTGGCCTGATTGTGGTTGGAGGTAAGTTGGTGACGATGAAAACCGCTTTCTTAGCTAAGCTCTCCAGCTACATCTTTCACTGCTTTTGTAACTATATGCTTACTGTTCAAGCCTGATTTTAGCATACTTCACTGTTCAAAGAAGCATTTCAAATAGTTGTAATGGTCTTAGAATTCTGTAACTTCTATTGCTGTTTCTCCGAACCCACACTGTAATTCCCCATATATTTTCACTATAATTCCCCATATATATTCTGAACAGTTCAGTGAGGCTTATAAGACTCTTTAGGATTGTAGTCCAAATACAGATCATACATTGCCTGAAAAATAATCTGAAATGTATTTACTTGATCTGAAAAACATACATGTGATCTCAACACAATTGACAGAAACAACTATATAAGCATATAATTGGATAATTATTCTTGATGTGATCAACAGTATCTTCTTATGTCTATGGAGATGCTCAGTCATCCAGATCATGGTTGTCCCAAAGGTGCTCCTCAAGGAGTATAAATCCTTCCATTTTTCACCATACAGTCAGAGCTGAAGAAGCTTCCTGGATGAGAAGTGAAATGTCTTCAAAGGAAAACCAGAAAGTCCAGTTGTCTCTTGAAAAAGCACCTTTGGGAGTATCTTATTATACAAGTATATGAAGCAATTTTAAAATAAACAATAATGTGTGACTATGCTGATATATATTTAATACAGAGTTGGAAAAGATACAAAATATGGCTGTTGAAATATTCAAATTGTCCACAAGGGAGGATTACAGAAATGTGGACCATTTAGTGTACAAAAAAGGCATATATGTTTGTCTCTTTTTGGAGGGAGATATCTTCCAAAACTCAATGGTAAAAAAATGAGGATAGAAAAAGGAAAGTACTTTTTAACTCAGCACCATAAATAAATTATGAAATTCATTACCACAGGATTCCCTGAAATCCATCAACTTCCACAGGTTTAAAAAGGAATTAAACAAATTCTGGGAGGGTAAAACTATCAGAGGCTGCCTGTCCAGGGTTAAAGCAACCTGCAGTCATTTGCTGACAAACAAGAACAGTATAACTTGTTGTTAGGCTTCCCATGTGCAATCCCTTAGGAACAGAACATTGAACTGGAAGGTTAAACAGGCATGGCATTTCTTATGTCCATTCTTGGCGAGAGGCTGATTCACATACAATAGTTCCTCTGTCTTTCTATTCCCTACTCACAAAGTTTTGATTCATTTTACAGCTGCCTGGCAGCTTACAGTAATTTAGTTTGGTGTAAAATAACTTATTTCCTTCTTAGCAGGACTGGGAAAAGTTTCAGCTGCTGAATTTTTGCTTGGTGTTCTACAGTTTTGGAAAGCCTTAAGGTTAGCCTCCCATCCCTTGGGATTGTAGTTAATGTACATTTTCAAAGGCAGCATGAATTAGTTCCTTTTCCTCCAGAATCCTTCCTATTCTGCAGGTCGTCATCTCCATGTTACCCTTATTCACCCCTCCTCCCTCCCTCTCTTTCTCTCTCTCCCCCCCCCCCCCCCCCCCTTTCTCCCTCTCCCCCCCCCCCCCCCCCACACTTTTTGTAAACTTGCTGGACGAAGAGTTCTGGAACTGCTCTACGGTTTTGCAGTCTGCATATTTTCTTCTGATAAAGAATTATCCACTCATGGACTGTGTCAGACTGTCATCTTATTTATGCAGCGATGCTGATATTTTCAGTTCTAACTCTATCTTACGGCAGTAAAGTTGCAAAGTTTTGGAAAGTTACATTTATGTGCATATATCTTTTCTTCAGGCAATGATAATTTGTACAGTTTTAAACTTCCAGTTGTCTGTTTGTCATTATATCAGTGGAGATTTTCCAAACGTGGAGAAAGGCTGCTGTTAACAGATATGTAATTGTATTTACAGGGAGCTTTGCAGCAATTGCCAGAGCTGTGTTGATTGTCCCAGTGACAGTTCTGTGATAAGAACAGGGTTACCATGTTTGGGCTGAAAGATGCCAGTTAACCTCAGAAGGGGAACAAAGAGTTTGATTTCTGAATCTTTTTGCTACTATCCAGTGGTCATCCAGATTGTTACAGTTCAGAATAAGGGAAACAATATGAAAGAATATGCAATTTATTTGCAGAGATGAGTGTGATAAATCCTTATATACTGGTATAGCTGGCTGTGATTCACATGCTATTGCCTAGAAACCTAAAGAACTGGACTGCACCTGTTCCACTCTATACATTAAAATGGAGCAGATTGTCCATTCAGAACTACCTAATTTATCTGTAAAGCTATTAAGAGGACAGGAGTTTAAAAAAACATTTTCTGGCTAAACTTCTGGTATCCCAAACAGTGAAATTACTCTTGACTAAAGGAACAAATTCTGTCCATCAAATGTGGTGAAAGAAATTAATGGTCTTATGAACAAGCTACCTTTAGGGAAACTTGTGAATTATTTCAGGTGTGCGATATCTACAACTGATCCACCTGAAGATTATAGTCTATCAGTTCTGATTTTGTGGGCAAACTTGGAAAATGAGGGCTTCTTCAGTAGGAAATGTACTCTTCCCCAATCCATGATGTCTACACAACTGCAAGTTCTAACTACATGCCACAACAAATAGGGAACTGCTCCTTGTTATTTTGGCACACTCTCATTTGCCATTTTCTACAGTTCTTAGTTTACAAGCTATCAAGAATCATGCTAAAAGGTTCTTTGGCTGATCTGTTTGCTTCCACGCTTTCAGCTACATAACTTTGGATGCATTCCCATTTTAATGCAGTAATGTAGTTATTTTTCCTCCTCAGAACTCTGGTAAAAGTATTAAGAAATGGATCTTTGCTGACTCCTCTGATGTGTTGACAATGAGTTGCTTTTAAATGAAAACGCAAGTGGGAGGAATTATGACTAGAACATATTTCAGTTTCGACATTATCCTACGTAAGCCTTGTTAAATGCTTCTATCATGTTTTGGTAATCAGGAATGCACTCCCCTTGTTTGAAACTATGCTGCTTCATGGAGGTGGGTTCTCTAGAGATGTTAGTTCCCTTCTAGTGAGGTTGATTCTGGATTAGGAGAATCAAAGTCTGCTCCATTTAGGCAAAAAATAAGTTGAGAACTATGTTTTTTTAAAATATCATCTATCAATGGATATAAGCCAAATAATGGTAGTACCTTCCTCCCCTATTTCTGGCCTGCTAGGAGGCCCAGATTGGTCACTGAGAAATTTGGATTTTATATTTATCTTTGATCCAGACCCACTAAAACAAATAAACTTCTAATGACAAAATATATTATATCACAGTGAATTTCTTGGTTTTATCCAGCTGGCTCTATACAGTGGCAGTCTTTGATAGAGCTTGAAAAGAACAAGCATCCCGTTTTAATTTCCCTTTTTAATTCTGTGAGACCTTCAAAATGGCAAAAGGATCTGAGTAAGTGAACCAAGGATACCCACTCATAGGTATGTAACCCGTATGTTTAAATAGGTAGGACAAATTATAGCTTGAAAATTGATTCAAACATTAGTTATCTAATAATTGTATTCAGAAATATGTTTCTTAGATATGCTGGTTCTGTTTTAAATTCTTATTATTGAAGAAGGATAAAAATAATTGATCTTAGATGGATTCTAATCACGCCCTACAGCTTAGCTTGTTGTTTGTTCAACTAAATCATTGTTCGTTCAATATACCACAATTGGGAGGTTTTGCATAACATGGTAACACAGTATGTGAACCAGGTCAGGAAAATGATGAGTAGTATAAAACTATTTTAAAGAAATTAGGTTTATCAAGCATCAGATCTTTGGTCTGTGTAGTACTGAGGTGTAGAAAGAACTTTCTTTCTTTTTCTCTTTTTGACTTGGGCTATAGTTTTACTTGTATGTATGATTAAAGCTTGGTTGTTCTTCAATTCTTTTAATTTGTGATTGATGCTAGTTTGTAGTGATAATCTATGACATTGCCAATTCTAACTTTTCTTATTGTAAACTGCCTTGGGAAGACCATAGTTATGCAAAGGAGTTAATAATAAAATAAATGAATGAATAAAACTAAAGCAAATAACTTGCACATTTCAGCATATACATACATATTGGAGGACTGTAGCTGATCAAGGCTCTCTTTTTACATATTCAGTCAAATAAAGACTTTTGGCATTATGATGTCCACATAAATAACTGTGCATGCCTGATTTTAAATGCATTAATTGCCATTATTTTATTTATGACTTGTTATTTTCTGTTCCTTACTCATGTAAATGCCAGACTTCAGAGCATTGCTTATTTATACATATAAACAAACAATCTGTTTAAAAGATCCAAAATATCACTAGGAGATATTGGCTAGGAAAAACTAGTCTAAATGTTTTAGTTGCCTACAAGTCAACTTTGGAGTTTACATCGTTAGAGGTGAGATCATTGTTCAGAAGTGGTGTCATTATGATGAAGGTGATGGGCCTTAATCATAGGTAGGGTGTAGCCATATGAATGTGCCTTTAGTAAAGAGCTATTGCTCATAGCTTGGAATTGGTTTCCACCAGCCTATAGTTCCTGAGTGAATGGATAAAACAAATTAACATTATTCCATTAGAGCCACATTCCTGGAAAGGTCATTTGAAGGTTCTGTGTGAGTCATGGATAGAACTAAGTCAGTGGTAATCATTGCCAGAAGCCGTGGCAGCAGGGTTACTTCTTACTCTTTTAGAAAGTTTACTTTTGCCTCCCCGTCTTTCTCTCTCTCTCTCTCTTTTGAGACAGTCTCCTTCACTACCACCGTAAAAAACATCTTTGTCATCCAGGCAGCCAAGAAGAGAGACAGATTGCTCAAATCAGAGAACTGAACTGATTGCTTGGAGAGAATTTTGAAATTAGGTTGATGGGTGCATATTACCCAATACTTGCCTTATATCTTTACATTTGAACAAAGATTCCTTTCCAATTAAAAGGAAAATAAATCTGCTAGGGAGCAGTTTGTGTTCTGAGCCCAGTTTGAGCTCATGTCTAGCCTGTTTCTGTATTGTTACCTAACAATGGACAAGCGATGCTTCCTTCTGTATTCCTTCCCTCATCACATTCTAAATACAGGAAGTGGTATTGCACAAAAGCACAATAGCTTAGTTAAGATTTGTTAAGGTCTGTTGCAAGACTTTGTAGGAATATTTGGTGGGCAAATCTGCATATGAAAATAAAACCAAAAGAACGAAAAAGAAGACCTGACGTGCACAAAAATGAAGTAGCATAAGTCTTTATTGTTGTGAACTACAGAGGTGTCATGTCTCCTCTCTCCTTGAGTCATACACAAGAACATGCTACTGCATACATAATGTATATGTGTGAATTTATAGGAGCCAATGTTTGCTTTACGAGGGAAACTTCATCAGTGGAAAAATACTGGTTTCTTGAGATTCAAATAAAGATGATATCTATTTGATTCTCTTTTCAACAGTATATCCCAGAAAACTTTCCTGCATTCTGTGGTTTGGTGTTGATGGCACAAGGGGAAAAGCAACAGTCTCTTTGGTTTTAACAAATGTGCAATAAACAAATATTTCCTCTTTTGTCTGGCAGGTTTTCCCGTTCAGATGAGCTCTCTCGCCACAAGCGTTCCCATTCTGGACTCAAGCCTTATCAGTGTCAAATATGCGAGAAGAAATTTGCCCGCAGTGACCACTTATCTAAACATATGAAAATCCACAAAGGGTCATTCAGTTCAGGAAGTCAGTCAGCAGGTTTTTTCCGTAATAGTTAACTAACTCTCTGTTTCCTTGCCAAGAGAAGATTTCTCATCAACTCAAAGGACAGCTGAATAGTAAACATGATTTTTCTTTAGGAGATAATTAATTAGAAAATGACGTGTTTAAGGAGAAAACAATTTCTTTTTTAATGTGCCTTACAATTAGGTTTTGCCTCCAAATCAAGATTTTGACACATGTTAATATGTGTACATTATATCTGAGAGGAAAATGTGACAATTCAGGATGTGGAGAAGAACAGCATGAGATACTATTTCATTTTAATTTTTGTAAATACTATACTGTAAATATTATTCAGGAATTCTGTATTTTCTATTAAGCTGCACACATGGGGCTGCATTCAAATGTTAAGTTACTTTTTTCATCCTCTCAGCCTACCCTTATTTGATCAGCCTGGCACTTATTCTAAAAGCAAAAGAGTGGAAGAAAATTATTTCAGTTTGAAATGCAGGGAAGTGATCATAAACTATAATAAACCCAGCAAAGAAATTACTCTTTGAATTCCAAATTCCTCTTTTAAAATATAGGTTTCTAAAATTTATATTTTGCTACTTCAAAGTGAGTTTCATTACTTTCCTCTTCTTTTTTGGGGGGGAAATTAATTGTATTTTAGATTACTGTGAATGATGATATTGTCTCTTAAGAGCCACATTTAAAATGCATACTCAATGGAATGTAGATTGCCAATGCCTCAGTATGATACCCAAGGTAAATTTGTATACTTCTTGCTATTTGTCAAAGTGCTGCACTATTAGAGAGTGCCTTCTGCCTTTCTAATAAGAAAAGCCAGAATGAGTCTTCAGTCCATTTTAATTAAAACAATAAAGAGCCTAGTACATTATAATTGATAAAACACTAATCAATGTACTGTGACATCTGCTATACACTACTGTACACAAAATCCTTGGATTGGATTTGCTATCTCAGTACAGCAATGGCAATGCCTAGTTAACTTTGGCTGATCTCAGACAACCTAAGCATGTCAGATCTGGTGTATATGTGGATGGACATTACTAGGAAACTCCAAGGCTTTGGGTAGACTATGAGGTTAAAAATTATCTGAAAGAATAGTAGTATGCAATAACATGCTACAATAATGTGTTATTTTCAAGAAAACTACATGAACAGGTAGCTGTCAATAATACAGCCCAAGTGAAGGAGTTTTCATCTTTAATATGGCTACTTTACTTAGATATTTAGATCTCATTTAAGTAAACTGCTGGTGTAAAACTGTAGAACATTTAAAATGTTCTACAGTTGCATGTGAGCACAAAAAATGCCTTGTACTTAAGAGGTGACATGCACCCTCAAGCAAGCAAGCAAGCTAGCTAGCTTCTTATGCATCTCCAGCCTGTCCCAAAATGCAACAGTTCCTGCCAGAAGAGGAGAGTATCTGTACATCCTGTGTAAGACTAACAACCTGCACTCAACCATGTTTACTTGGAAAACTGATTCTGAGATATGTTATGGCTTGTCTTAGATGTTTTAGCCTCCTTCCCCTATGGGCACTATTTTCATTTTTTAGCATGTGCCAGCCTGAATGATTCATATTGCCGCTGTCTCCAGTGTTTTCCACAAGAATTCTGTACTGTGTCAAGTTTATTATTCTCTCTCTGGCCACTCTCAGTCTTCAACTCGGACAACTTAGGAAAGATTTTGTATCTTTTGTATAAAGGTGTATTTCAGCGATTTCTCCTCCCACTGAACAACATTCTATTGGCATAAATAACAAAAATATTTTAAAACCACCTCCAATATGGCCGACAGAAAATTGTTACCATGGCACAACAAACTGTACTGAAAAATCCTCAGAGCAACTTGTATTTGCAGAAACAAAAAATTCAGAATTCAAGCCCAACTATGTAAATGTTTATTAAGCACATTTCTATGCTGATGCAACTGAAATGCTCTCAGCAGCATACATAAATAATACCATTTAAAACAACCATAGTACAATTTTAAAATCAGATCATACAAATAATATATATATACACACCCTGTTTCTCCAACAATAGGGCCTCCCCCAATAGGAAGTCCCAGCATGTTTTATAGGCATGAAATGAAATTAAGCCCCTCCCCCCAAATTAAGGCCTATATTAAAACATGCGAAATGGGGGGAATGGGGGGGGCTTGCCATTAGGAAGTACTTTTGTTGCACACCCGGATATGGTGCTGCCTGCGTTGACCCCGATACGAAGTGCCCCACCAACACCAAGGTCAACATCCAAGCCGTCACCGCCTGCCCAAAGATGCAAGGGGGGGGGGGGAATTAAGTCACCCCCGAAAAGACGGCCTAGCCATTTTTTCGGGGCTCAAAAAAAAATAAGACCCGGTCTTATTATATGAGAAACACAGTGTGTGTGTATATATATCTTGAATCAAAATCTTTCCTAAGTTGTGCCTTCTTACTTCCTTACTTCTGAAAGGAAAATGTCTTCTGGCATCCCAAATCATTTCTTTTCCATGATTTCATGAATGGGAGAAGTAATTGGCAAGCTGATTTCCAAGGATCTGTTGATGTAGCAACCATGTACCCTAGAAGAAAAAGCTGAAATCTATTATAATAGGTTGTAGATACTGAGCTTCAAATAACAGAATAAAATTAACAGAGTATTCAACAGTGGAACTAATTGTCCAAGGATTTCCATTGTTCAGGAGAAAGCTGAATATTTGATTCCTATCCTGAGCAGGGTGTTGACCCAATAGCCTCTTTCAACTCTCTGATTCAATAAGATTTGAATTAATTATTAATACCACCATTATATAGCAAGTGCATATTCTTACAAATGTAACTACACCATTTATCCAACATATAAACACATAAGATTAAGTGTTACTGAATTCTTTTTCCTTTGGAAGTTATTTGGACTCAGATAACTTAATTTTTCTCCATAATTTCTACCATTCTTTAAAAATGTTATTACAAGTTGAAAGCAAGTCCTAATATAAAATCATATATATTGCACAGTTGTAAAGATTTGTGTAATCTCTGGTTACATGTTTTATGGGGGATTTTTTTTTTCCTTGCACAATAGGGCTGCCAATTTTTTATACTTGTTATAAAGATTTATGTTGACCACCAGGAGGTAGTGGGAGATGGTACATGATCCTTATTGGGAACCATTGGATCCACATATCAGATGTTGGTGCAAATCCTCTCCAAGAACTAAATTTATTGACCATTGCATTTTAGATGAATAAATACAGTGCATTAATATTAGGAGCTTTTCGGTTCCCACTGCGATTGAAGATGGAATATATAATATTAATCAGAATGGTATGTACACTCTGTTTCCCTTTGAGCTTTGAGACAGTGAGAGAAAGAAAGTTTTGCATGATTTTCACCCTCCCCCTCATCCTAGCGGTGGTGGATTTACTTGTTTTTACACAACGTATATAGTATGTGGTGGTTTCAGTTACACTGATTACCAGGAGGCTATTGTAGTTTCATCCTTATTAGGAATCATCAAATATACATAGCCATATTCTTATTCTGTAGGATTCAAACCCTTCAGGGATCCCCAAGCCCCAGGCTGTGGCCCACTACCGGGCCATGGCCTACTTGGAATTAGGCCATGCAAGTGGCTGACTGGAGTGCACACATGTGTGCAGCTCAACTTGTGTAAGTGGTGGGTTGGTGGACACTTGAGCATGTCTGTGCCAGCCCACTAATTGTGCGAGTCAAGCTGCATACGTGCATGCCAGCCCACCACTTGTGCAAGTGCTGCATGGGTGCGCGCATGCACGCTGTCCTGCTGCTTGTGCCACCCAGTTCCCCTCTCCCTCTACCATCCCCAGCCGGGCTGCCAAGCCACAAAGCTTGGGGACTGCTGTTTTACTGTGGGAATCAAGTGTATCAATCATTTTGTGGGTTTTGGCAGATAGGCATCATTGATTAGTGAATGTGGAATGGGAAGAGAGTTTGGAAAACTAGTTTGCTTTGTAGTAAACATTGAATGGCTATGCTGTTGAATCACTCTTTCAGTACAAATTTGTCTCACAGGACTAATGTGAAAAGAAAAAAAAATTGGCAAATCAATCATTTTTTATCCTATTGGGAATTCGTTGAGAGAAGACTAGGATGCAAATGTTATGGCAAATAACTGCAGCTCATGCAGTGGTTGTTTGAAGAAGTAAATTTTACAATAAGAACTGAAAATATAAGACTGCAATCTATGATGGATATATATCAAGGATTTAAACACAATCACAAACTTCCAGATCATGCTCACTTATAGTTTTAGGTTATTTATTACTGCATGTTTTTGACTGAACCTGGCAAAAGTATAAATCTTTTTACTTTTTACAAGTAAAGCTTGTAAAATATGGCTTTATCTTAATTGCAGGCAAGTGTTACTAAAGAAATATGAAATCAGGAATAAAAACAGTTCAAAAACATGAATCTTGTCTTGGTTGCATAAACACCAAGCCAGTCCCTGAAGAATCTTAAATGACTTTTTAGCTGTGTTGTCATAACTTGGGCCAGGCAAAAACATAACAGCATGCTATACTTGGTTAGCATAATCCCACTTGAGTATTTTATAGAGAGAATCCAGACCATATTGTTTGCTTATGGTTTTCTACCAACACAGAAAATAGATGAAATTGGTAATTAAATTAAGCATGCTGTATGAACACAATACTAAGTCTTTCTGAAACTTCTGAACCTTTCTGGAACTTGTATAATTGAACATACAAATAATTAATGTTCCATACATATAATTTAATGTTCTAAAGAGATGGAAAGGGAGACTAAAAAGACAGATACCTAGACAGCAGGCTTTGTGACTTTGGGGCAATCACTCTCAGCCCAACCCACCTCACAGGGTGGTTGTTGTGGAGAAAAGGAAGAAGAGTATTATGAATGTTTGCCACCTTGAGTTACATATAAAGTAATAAAGATGGGATAACAAAATCTAAATAATTGAAATAAAAAAAATATAAAACCCATAGTGAGCTCTGTTAGACTTACATGGTAAAAATATTGTAAGTTTGCAATGTTTTCAATTATTTTTTCATTAAAGTGTTATTACTCCAAAACTGAACAAGATGGAATACTGAAGTCTTGGATGAACTCAGTGATACTGCGACATTATGTTAACTTTTGTTAGGATGTGTGTGCCTACCAAGAGCTTGTGCATATGTAATAATAATAAATCTTGGTTCGCTCTGTTAAAATACTGAAGTTTGAAGATGATAGAAGTGTCATTGGTCTTATTTGGGACAGTTATGACTCTGCATATAGACGGGAGGTTGAACAACTAGTAGCCCTGTGGGGCAGTCATAAGTTCAAGCAGCTACATCGTGCCAAAGAGGAGGCTTACAGGAAAGGAGACAAGATTTGCGGATCGCCTACTGAGCAAATAGGTCAGCAGATAATGCTATCAATATGGCACTTCACTACATTTTGCAACATTTCCAGGGACCACCAATGCATGGCTCCTTTTTGTAGAGTTCAATTCACATTTAATACTTTCATTCCAGAAATTCTTCACTCATTGATTCATCTAGCTGTGTCTCTCCATACTTGTAGGTGGGTTATTAGCTTTTTGACAGAAAATAAGCAGCAGGTGAAGCTAGGGAAAATCACATCAAGTACCTGGCCAATTAGCACAGGTGCCCTTTAGGGCTATGTTCTCTCCATTTTTCTTTTCTCTCTATTCCAAATGCTGCATCACTAGGGATCCCTCTGTTAAATACTGAAGTTTGCAGATGATAGAAGTGTCATTGGTCTCATTTGTGACAGTGAAGAGTCTGCATATAGACGGGAGGTTGAACAACTAGCCCTGTGGGGCAGCTGGAACAATCTGGAGCTGACCATGCTTAAAAATGTAGAGATAAGGGTGGATTTTAGGAGGAGCCTTTTTATTCTACTACCTCTTACTATGTTTGACAGCACAGTATCACCAGTAGAATTCTAAAGATTTTGGGTTCTATAATCTCCCAGGATTTGTAATGGACACCTAACATTTAGAACCATCCTTAAAAAGGCACAAAAAAGAATGGTCTTTTTGCATCAACTCAGGAAGTTCAGCCTGCCACAGGAGCTCTTGATACAGTTCTATAGAGGAATTATTGAGTCTGTAATCTGTACTTCTATATAACTGTCTGGTTTGATACAGAAACCAAACAGGACAGATACAGACTCCAACAGGTAGTTAGGATTGCAAACGAAACGAAACAAAAAACAATGGCAACCAAACTGCGTCCCATAGAAGACCTGTATATTATGCAGGCCAGAAGGACGGCTAAGAAAATATAGACCCCTCACATCCTGAACATAAACTCTTTCAACTTCTCCCCTTGCTGCTGTAGGGCATTGTATGCCAAAACAACTAGACATAGACAGTTTCTTCCCTCCTGCCATCACACTGCTGAACACCTAATCGTGGGGCTACTCCAGTACTGTCTTATGTCTAAGTATAATTACCCATGTTGTATGTTGTAGTATTATCCTTCCTATCTTCTTTACTACCCCTTCTTATTGGTATCATTATGATTATTACTATGTTGCTTTCCATGTATACTGAGAGCTTTTGCACCAGAGACAAATTCCTTGTGTGTCTAGTCACACTTGGCAAATAAAGTATTCTATTCTACCCAACTAAAACAACAAAGCCTGCCAAGAATGCAGGACTAAACAATAGCTCCCAAGTTGCTCTTATTGCACCAAGAATCCTACATAATCACTGTGACAGGTGAATTTACTTTATTTGGCCCACTAGAAAGTGAGTGGTCTGAATATATTTCCCCTCCAGAACAGGTGTCTAAACATGGTCTCTATGTTTGAGATATTTCTTTGATGACTGGCTGGAAAATGTGTGGTTTTGCCTTAAAAAAATCTTTATTCTTATTATGTTTGTTGGAATATTTATTACCAAGTTCATTCTGATCTGTAATGATAAAAATATTATGAAATTAAGTTCTTTATTCTTTATCTATGAGCAATGACAACAAGAGATTAGGTGGATAGCCACAAATACCCCCACCATCTAGCACAGATTATATACATTACAATCAGCCCCTCTTATAGAATACCACCCCTTACCCAGGCACCCATTTCTGTCCTCACATCATTTTTATAAGAACCTTCCTTCCTAGCCAGGGCCTCTAAGTTTTCTGAGAGTATTTATCTAAGGAGAAGCTATCCTTCGAACTTATACCTTATCTCATTTGGCTGGGTAAACTACTTTCAAGGTCTGTGGCCCATGAAATATTCTAGCTTCTTAGTTCTTTTATGTCTGCACTATATGAAATGCAAGATGCAGGGCGGGAGATTCTCTGGATTTCAAACCAGAAGCCTCTTGCAATAGCCTCCCACTCCCATTGTTTTCTCACTTTCAGGTTGGAAGTCATAATGTTAATAAAGATAAACCATTAACAGATTGTTAAAAATAAATAAACCAGGCCTCAAGGCATGTGGCACAACAGAATGAGCACTCTCTAAAGAAAACTCTTGATGATTTGTTTTGAATTGGTAATAAGCAAGTACTGTAGCGCTAACCCTCATAACTCTCACTTTCTAACTGCTGTTTTTCTGACTGGCTGATAAAAGCAAAACTCCCACTTACAAAATACTGCAATGACCAGAAAGCCTTGCGGGACGGAGGCGGGAAGAAACTTCTCATTGGCGCAACAAATTATTAAGGTTATTGTGATTGGCCTCTTTCTTTCCTTTCCACAGGGGAGTGGCGGAAATGCGGAGTACGGTGGCCGTAATTGGGCTGGGAAAATCTATGTGTTCCGGAGTAAATGCCTGATCGGCCAGGCTGGTCTTGCCCCTCGGCTTCTTCTTGTTTCGGTTTTGCTCAGAGAGAGATGGGGAGCCCTATTTCGAGTCTCCACGGAGGCCGATGGCCATGAAAGGCAGGGAGCAGGTCAGCACCTGCCAATTGCACAGGAAAGGCTTGGCGCGGGAGGGGGCTGTCCGCCTGGGTGAGTCCAGGGTCGGCTTGGGACCCTTTTCTCTCTGCTTCGCCGATGCTGCTGAATCCCGCAAGGCGGTGTTGGGCGATCTACGCTCCCCGTCCGCTACTCTCCTTGGCGAGCGGAATTTCTTTAACGGTGGCGCTGGCGGAGAGACACTCTGCGTATGCTCAGAGTCCCTGCCCCGAAACGAAGCGCGCATTAAGCGCTCCTCGTTCTCTTGCTTCCCCGCATCCCCCGTGCCTCCAGATTCCGACTCGCAAGCAGGCGAAGTTCTGATGTGCTCAATCCCTCCTCGGCAGACGCCTGGCTTTCTCTCTGTTCTTTTATCATGGTTGGCTGATTTATTAATTGTTTTCTGAGTAGTATTCCCATGCAACAGTTGTCCCGTATGCTTCCTAATTTTGGCTTGCCACGATATGTGAACACGCCCAGTAAAGGTGCCACGATATGCGAACACGACCATGCTATGTGAACGCGGCCACTCGGCTGAGTAAGGATTTGGAAATGTCTTCCTGATTCAAATAAATCAAATCTGTATCTACGGTAGAGGTTTATATTAGCTCCACTAATATTTCGACATTTCCGTACACTCATTCGCAGCCTATAAACCTTAACGCCCCCTTTTTCTGCTTTGAAAACCTCAGATGTGACTTCTGAAACTTGCTGGGATCTTCCCAACCAACTTCCAGTCTTCACATTCTGTTTTCATGGCTCTTCTGGAATCCACTGTGCTCTCCTTCATACACTTCTAGTTATTGCCTTTATGACAAGTACCCGATGCTGACCATGCATGGTAAGCAAGCTGTGTTTGAAATTTCTGCAGGATTTATGGACATGGGCATTAAATTTTGCACTGGTTGCACATTTCATAAGGCAAGAAATCATGTAGGGCTACTCCAGATGCTTTTAGCTTATATTGTACCTAAAGTATAATATAATGTGGGGACATGCTATGTAAAGAAAGGAAAAAACTCACTCTCTCTCTCTCTCTCTCTCTCTCTCTCTCTCTCTCTCTTTTAATGTTCACATGAGAATTCTTTAAAGGCAAGGCCGTAATTCACCTTTTCTATATGAATTATCGGCAATGTTACAAATTTTATTTTGTATATCTTAGCTTGTACAAGTTAATTTTTATTCCTTGTTGATAATGCCCCAGTTTTTGCAATCAAATGAACCTTCTCATTATATCAATAAATGATCACTAGGAAAAAGGATAAATTCTGGACTGATAGTTTTCTCTAACAAACCTGACTGTGGACGTTAAACCAATTATTAGGAATATAACTGTTTGCTCCCACAGTTTTCACTTCAATAGCTGTTTCTTCTGGAACACATCAGATACTTATTTCTTACTACTGTTTCTTTCCTGCTCCAGAGTTTTGAGAATATAGCGTTTCCCTCCAAGATTTATGGTTTGTTTATGATTACCTGTAATTTTATCCTGACAGATTTTATAGCAATTTATTTTTGCTTTGGCCAAAGAGATTTTTTTTTCTTTTTCCTTGATTCTTAGCTTTCATTGATGCATATTATAGCCATCTTCTCTCTTGTTATTATACTGAAAAGTCTTGTATTCTTCTCAGCTGGCAGTATGCTTGTTGCTAGCTTTGTGTTTTGGCACTGTTCAATAGACTAGCAGAGATGGGTGACACATGGAGTATCAGAAACAGTAGGCCTTTTTGGTGATTGGTCGAACTCCAAATGTAATTTGTATAAATACAAATAGGGAAAGTGCTCATATTACCATGTATTGGTATTTGTACCTGCTCTTTAAGGAGGCTCTTTCATTAAATCTTAATTGTCAGACAAACTCATGTCTCACAAGAAAAAGGCTGAAAGTTTTGTACTATGTACAAGTATTTCACATTATCAGTGTCTGATATTGCTATATATCCTCAGACATACTTGTTAATATTTAAACAGTGAATGAAACAGATTCTCTTTAGAAACTATTATATATAAATGAACATATTAAAGATTTTCTTTGTGTGATATGGATGAGGACACTTGTGTATCTGTGTGCTTCTGTGTACATGCCAGGAACATGGATGAAAGTAGCTACAAAAGTATTGAACTCTTATAATTCTAGTCAGGATGTTGGTTTCTGAAAGGAAACAGTAGTTGAGGGTTCCTTGGTGCTCCCTGAACTTGGCTGTTTTCTTGCAGATGTTTCATTATCTAAACTAGGTAACATCATCAGTGCTAGATATAGTAGTTATTTGTACTGAACTTGGCTTGTTTTTTTTCTATTGGGAACTTTTATTTCTTCACTGGAAATGCTTATTAGATCATATGACTTGTGTGACTTGTGTAAAATTTGTACGTACAAATATGTATGTATAAATGTTTTCCTCATAACAAGGACAACAGATAGATGACATTGAGTCAACCAAGATGGCAGGAACCACTCACAAGAATAAAATAACAATTAGCATCCCTCACTGGCAGTATGCTTGCACTTTCTTTACTTCATTGAGAAGAAATTGGGGTCAGAAGACATACTGTGATGGTGCTCATCCCATTTCCCACATAATTCACCTAGTCTTCTGCAACTGGTACATTGGACTTTTATCATTGCATCATGAAGCTCACTGGGTGATTTTGTGACAGTTTTCTGAACCCAAGCTACCTCATAGAGTATATTGTGCGAATAAAATGGCAAGCTATTCCCATTCTACTTGGGAAACCTACAACATATACAGGAAATACCAACTTGGTGGAAGCTAGCTAAGGTCTTAAGTGCTATTTGCTTTTTCTGGTTTTTCAGGTTATTACTTTTTCTACTTAAGTCTTTGTAGCACCGTTGATGTGACTACTATCACAAAAACATATTAGATGTTTTTTGCAGACTTATAGATTAAAAACAATTAAAAAGAACAGAATGAAATAACAGTATATGCTTGCCAAGATTGAAGTGTATACTGAATTTCTACTTCAGTAATACTGTTAGGTGTACAGCTAACAAAGCTACTAATGCTTACTATAAGCATGGTTCTTAAGAAATGACTTTTGAAGCTGAAGGTTGTTTCCAAAGTTGTCTGAAACAGTACAGTGTTCTGCTGCCTTAAGAAGAAAAGTAAATACTAGCAGCTAGGAAGGTAGGTAAATATTGTAATAGACTGTATTGCATGCACAAATTGGCTTTAGATATCGCTTAAATGGAATTATTTCATAAAATTTAATTTCAACCTTGCAAGTATTTGGGATATCTTTGCAGCTTGATTATTTGCTTGTGTAGGGAAGAACTTTTTTTAAAAAAAAACTTTTGTAGTAGACAGAGATCTCTGAAGTTTGTTTTGCAGTTGCAAGGCTAAATGGACAAAGTAATTTTAAAAAGGAAAGTGGTTTTCCTGTTATTTCACCTTCCGGAAGCAATAGCAAAAGATCCTTCAGGGGACATAAAAATTCTTTCTTATGTGTGCATCTCAGGTAGTGACTTCTGGAATGCTTGAATTTGGAATTGTAAGTTTGAATTTGAATTGTAAGGGACAATGTACTAAAATATGCAGAAATATACATCAAGCATTCTTCAGTTGGATTTGGATTTTCTCTCTCTCTGATCAAACCTAAGTCTGTAGGTTTGGGAAATGTTCTTTGTGTGAAATAGTGACTCTTTTCCAATAGGATGTAGGCTGCACATACAGTATTTGTTAAATGCAGTTATCACTCATGTAAGATGGTACACAAATAGCTTTCAAAATATTCAATCAAAGGAACAAAATAAATTCCTTTATAAATAAAATAAATCCTTTTTTATTTTATACACACACACACACACACACACACACAGAGAGAGAGAGAGAGAGAGAGAGAGAGAGAGAGAGAATGAATTAAAAACATTACCAAAATGGAAGCATTTTTCTTACATATATGAAATATCAGATAGAGGATGCCTGTGTAAAAAACTCCTAGTCCAGGAAGACTAATTAGAAAAGGACTTGTTTATTAACCTAGTCTCTCTAAATATATTGTGCCATATATAATGGGATGCATTTATGACATTTACATTCTGCCCCTCTCCCAAGTTTTAGGGTGCTTTACAAAGTACATTTCAATCCCAATCAATGTAAAATCTCAAACAAAAATGCCAGCCTGATGTCATCACTAAAATTCAAGCATTGTTGCTGAACAAGATTCTAGTAATTCTCTCAGGATTTAATTCCCAGATACCTTAAGTCAGCAGAAAAGCGGGTTACAAATGTACACAAATGCTTCACTTTTGTGTCCCTTTAACTTGACCTATAAAGCTATCCTATCCTACCCTACCCTACCCTACCCTACCCTACCCTACCCTACCCTACCCTACCCTACCCTACTCTACTCTACTCTACTCTACTCTACTCTACTCTACTCTACTCTACTCTTTACAAGGTCCCTTCCAACTCTGTTATTCTGTATCCATTTACTGAGATAAAGGAAAAAGAAAGAATTCAGAGTTTTTTCCTGTGACCTCCATTTCTGTTTGTTTTCTTAACTGGGCAGCCTGTGGGCATCAAATGTCACAAATCATCTTGGAAAATATTTTCAGTTCCTTTACTTGAAGAGATTTACAATGTTAAAAACAGATAAAATGATACGGTAGATTGCTGAGCCCTATTTAAGCATTATGCAGGTACTGTTCCAGTATGTATTCTGAATGGGCCACTTTGTAGTATTCTAGAATTAGTAATGTAATTTTTTTCATGGTACTTGTAAAAAAATACTATCTAAACAGAATAGAACAATTAACAGAATTATTATTTAAACAGTTAATTTCTTAGACTATAAATTTTTAATATAATTGCAAAAAATTGTATTATTTATGCTATTTAGAAAGTAACTGGCTAAGATATCTTCATTTTTTTTTTTTCTCCAATAATTGTGTCACTTGTCTCTAGATCCTGATTCGTCCTTCACAACTTTGTCTGTAACCTGGAGGATTGAGTACCAAAGTCAAAATCCATTTATACCTACTGCCTTCCAGATGTTTGGGTTCACAACTTTTGGAAATCCTTATCATTGGCCTTACTGGCTGGGGCTGCTGGGATCTGATCTTCATTAGACATGTGGATTTTTGTAGAAGGTATGTTTATGGTGCCCAAAAGAAGAAGGAAAAACAAGGGCATATTGTCAATATTTCCATCTATAAAAGACTCTTCCTATTCCACCGTTGAATATCACTGGGATCTTCCCTGTATTATTCATGTGTAGAAATTTGGGGGGAAATGATGTAAAAAATAAATTTGGAAAGCCAAGAGGAGGTTATTTGAACTATTTACTGTTTGGTATTTACATGAAAGGAAGATGATTCTGAATGTAAGATAGTTTTTCTCTAGAAAAAGGAATATTATAGGGAAAGAAACTTTTCAGTCACCATTGTCATATTTTCTAGAAATCTAAAATGAACCTATCCCCCTTTTTCATAATTAGATTTCTCCCAATTGATCTGATTTAGCAAAGAAAGCGTAAGAAAAAAAGCAGAACATCAGATTGTATAGTAAATATGGGTCCCTGAATGTGAGTTGACTTTGAGTTGACTGCTTACCACTGGAGATGCATTTGTTCCTAAAGTGTTGTGCATGATCTTGATGACAATCTTATCTCCCCTCTTCTAAATTTCAGTTCATTGCTATGGACAGTGCTATAACCTTGTGGCAGTTCCTTTTGCAACTTCTTCAGGAATCTCGGAATAAGGACATTATCTGCTGGACCTCAAATGATGGAGAATTCAAACTTTTGCAAGCAGAAGAGGTGGCCCGCCTTTGGGGAATCCGTAAAAACAAGCCCAATATGAACTATGACAAACTTAGTCGTGCACTCAGATATTATTATGTAAAGGTAACTTGGCCTTTTGTTTGCCTCCAATGTTTAACTTACATTGCATTCTAGTGGGTCTAGAATTAGTGGTTTTTCTCTCTCTGATTTCAGTGGCAGGAATGTTGGGAATGCCACGAGAATTGATTGAGTAAACATAAAGTTGCTTGCCTATCTGATTAAATGTATTTGTTTCAAGAATTAGCAACAGTCACTACTACTATTTTACCCAACCACTTGTTCTTGTTTTGAAATAGGTTTGTGTAACTCAGAGTTCTATCATTTGACATTTTGATTTATTCATTTATATCCTCAGATCTTAAAAATATGTTAATTGTTATTTTATTAATAAATAAAAGTAAGTAATATTTTATGCAGAATTTCCATGGAATATGTGAATGTATACAGTATGATCCCCCCGCCCCATGTTTTCTGGAAAGTTCTCAGTATGTTCTGAAAAGCTTCAGCTGATGTGTTTATTAGAATTTAATTTCGAATAACATTGATTTGACAATTAAATACTGCTTATAATTTTATGATATATGGATTGTAGCACTCAGCACATTGCTATAGAACAGGAATGTCAAACTCATGGCCAATGGGCCGGATACATCACGTGCTGGCCCCGCCCCCACTGTCATGACAACATGAGTTTGACACCCCTGCTATAGAACAATGTGAAAGCCATTGAATACTTTCTGGAGACTTTGAAATGGCTGTAGTTTACTGCTTTGCTGAATATTTCAGATGTTCATTTTCCTTCAGCTACATCAAAATGTTATGTACAGTCAGCTTTTAATACTTAATCTTGATGCTGAAATATATTGATATTGATGGAAGTATTATGTCTGAGATCAAAATTGGCTTATATTATATTGCCTTCTGAATCAAAGAAATAAAATAGGCAGTTGGTGTGACTGAAATATGAAGTTCAGACAGTTGACTGAAACCATGTTCATTATGAGCAAACTTTTTTGAAGCTCTACAATATTTTTAAATTCATTTTTCATTTTTTATTATTGATGGATTTGTTGGTATGTGGCTGGCCTCACATGAAACAGGAAAAACATTCTTATTTTCTGCAGTGCTATATGCTTCTAGACAAATGGATGTTGGGTATGTGTCCTGATTAGTACATGGATGTATATCCCCCAAATCCCTTTCAAGACAAAATGAATAAAGATACAAGTTTGAATCTAGAACTACATAGGGTTCTTTTAGTTAGCCCATTGAGATAAATAGGACTGAATCAGGCACACTTTTCTCATCTTTAGTTAATCATATTGTCTCCTTGACTAGCTGAACTATGGGACAAGTATTCAAAGAGGGGGTGCCTAATCTCTGTTTTATTTTTGATGTTTTCACAGAACATCATCAAAAAAGTTAATGGTCAAAAGTTTGTTTACAAGTTTGTATCTTACCCAGAGATTTTGAATATGGATCCGCTGGTTATTGGCAAGGTTGAGGGTGAAGCTGAGGCACAAGCTGGCTTTGTTGATACTAGCAACTCTACAAAGGACATTGAAACTTATGGGAAAGAGAAACATCAGGCCAGTGTGAAATCCTCCAGCCGCAATGACTATATCCACTCGGGCCTATATTCTTCATTTACTTTGAACTCTCTTAATTCCTCCTCTTGTACAAAACTGTTTAAGCCAATTAAGATGGAGAATTCAGCTGAGAAGCTGACAGAAAAGAGAACTACTCAGGATTCAACACCTTCAGTCATAAAATTTGTAACCATGTCCTCCAAAAAGCCTTCTGTATCTCCCCTTGCCTCAGCCACTCAACTGACCTCTAGTATCTCAGCTGCCTCTATCGTACCTTCAGGTTCAAATGAAAGTTTCCAGGCATTGGAATCTCCAGCAACATCTAAAGGTGCAGCCACTGAAAGTTCAGCCTCTTTGCCAGTCTTGACCTCTAATTTTAATTCTACATCTCCTGCAACCTCCACATCTCCTAGTCTCCAGGTTCTACCCAAATCTCCTTTACCACCTTTAAGTTCTAATTCTGATCTGGTTATAGATACAGAAACTGAGTCTGTAGTTTGCCAGCAGTTAGAGCACTTTCAGAATCAAGCCTTGGAGGTTAAAGAGATGAGTTCCTCCATATTTGAAAAGAATCTTCGTCATAGCAGAACTAGAAAGCCCAAAGGACTGGAGATTACCCCCACTCTGTTTATTACTGGCAGTGACCCCAGTCCACTAGGAATACTGAGTCCTTCTCTACCAACTGCTTCTCTTACACCAGCACTTTTTTCACAGGTAATCCTGTCTTTTATTTGGGATCCAAATACTGTATGTAAATTTGCAATAGAATAGAAATTTACCTGCTAATTCTTGCTCTTTGTTTAAGTTTGGGAATAAAAGTAGGAATTTAAGAGGCTGGACAGCTATCCAGCTAAGGGGGTCATTGATCAGAAAATTGACCTAATTTGTTTAGTATATATTTTAGTCTGTGCTTGAGGAGTTAATGCAGAATGCTTAATGTTGGGTATTTTTTTTAAATATTACTTTTCCTTAAGAGATCTAAGCTTCCTAGATTTTTTGTAATTATTCCTAATTAGGACAAAACGGACAGTTGAGTGTAGTGGTGAAGGCATCTGGCTAGAAACTGGGAGACAGAGGTCCAGTTGTGCCTTGGACACGAAGTGACCTTGGACCAGTAACTTGCTCTCAGTGCTAGGAAGGAAACAGTGGCAAACCATTTCTGAAAATCCTTGTCAAGAAAACTTCAGGGACTTGACCAGGTAGTTTCTGAAAATTGGACACCATTGAATGGAAGATTTTTAAAAAAGAACAAAAGTTAACATTTCACTATTTAATCATGGTTACCTAATTTGGACTTGCTGTCTTTTTTTCCTTTTAAGGATAAATTTCTTCAACCGATTAAGGCCATATTTAATTATTATGGCTACAATAACATTATGTGCAGCATAATTTTTCCTTAACATAGCAGTTTAAAAATATTTTTGTAGGTGGTTCCATATTCTAAATTAAGCAGGTACCCTGATGTACTTTCTGCTATAGTTAATTTTGCTTCACATATAAAAATAGAACGTAATGAGAAAGCAAGTGAGTTGAATGTAACAAAGAATAGAGAGGTGTTGGCGAATAGGCAATCCAATAGAATGATTTAACTATGATTAAATAATTCGGATTATATCCCAAGATGGCAACCTTGGATAATTTTGTAAAATCTAATCAACCTAGTTTTTAGGGGTCAGCACCTCAAGCTGTAAAGTTCCAGAAAACAATTGATCAAAATGAAAACAAAAGTAAAATCCGAGTAATAACCTCAAGCTAATGCTTTAGATTCATGGAATTCAGTGAACGTATCAGAATATGACTACTTCATCTTATAAGTCATTTAAAAAATAAAAAATTCTGTATCTTTTATGACCACCTGTACAAGACAGTTTATTAAAAATTGTTTACATAGGTCACTTCCTTTATTTTTGAGCCATCGGGTGTTGCTAGGACAGGAAATAAAATAATTTAAAGCTGTTAGATTTCCCCTCAATCTTATCATGCCTGTTAGGATCTGACATTGAAATGGAGAAAATCTCTGGTCATCTCCTCTTGCTGTATCTGGAAAAGGAAGATAGCTAACTAAATCGTCTTCTTGTTTTTGTGATGTGCTATCATTCTTAGTTTCTAGACTAGACAGAATCAGTTTGATTTTCTACCCTTTATTAACTATCATATTGGTGTCTGATCCCAGACTAGTGATGTTAAAACAGATGTCTTGCCTTAGTGATATTAGATGCTTATTAGTCATATTGAACTAAATGCGCACTTCCAAATGATTAGTTTTATCCTATTGTTCTGTATGTCCCACAGACACCTATTTTACTGACACCAAGCCCCTTGCTCTCCAGTATCCATTTTTGGAGTACTCTCAGTCCAGTTGCTCCTCTCAGTCCAGCAAGATTACAAGGTGCTAATACCCTCTTCCAGGTAAGTTTCAATTCATGACAGCAAACAAAGTCTATGTGGCAGATATTTCCTAAATAGTCACGTAAGAGTGAGCCCTTTTCTTCATTAGGACAAGATTGTGCAACATTATTTAAGCCAAGGACTAGACTTGGCCTTTATGGAGCAAGTTGGGAGGAGGCTGCGCTCCAAAAAAGTTCAAGAAGGTGACAAAGGGATGAACAAGAGTAGGAAAATTGCTTTTGATTTAACTACAACTAATCTTATTACTTATCACATTTTATTCATTCCTTCTATTATATTAAGAACTGCAGTTGACAGTATATTAAAAGGTGATCTTAGAAGATTTGATGGATTGTACACCCTTGATTTAGCAGCAAAGCTCCATTTAAACCACTCATATTTCCTAACTGTTTGCAGCTGCTAAGCTTAGTTTAACAAAATAATATGATCTTCCCCAACCTGGTGTCCTTCAGATAAATTCGGACTCCAACTCATATTCCCAGGCAAGCTTGTTTTAATCATATTTGTGTAAATTAAAAGTTAAGGCTAAAATAATATCATATTCTACAATAGATAAAGGAATTAGTTTACAATCTGAGTGAGAGTACAGTTAAAACAAAAGCTTCAAGATGCTTCAATTGAGCCCACTCATCTGATCACTGTGTCCATGGCAGCAAAACAAAAGTGAATAGCTGTTGCCTTTCAATTGTTTTTTTTTCATTTAGTCTTGCTAACACCTCTGGAACTTTTAGTTGATGCCCTATTCAAGTTCTAATTTAATCTACATTGTGGAACCCTATGGGTTCACTGTTAGCCTCGTCAGAATTGTTAAAAGATAGTTAAATTTAAAGAACAAAAAAGAAGAGGCAGAACAAGTATCTCAGGCAAAGCTTCACAATCCAAATGTAGGTGGTGACTCTGACTCTGCATTGAGGGCTTTCTATCTTTGCACATTTAAGGATCAGTGTTATATTTAATTTTTCAGTGTTATAAGAAGGTTGCTGTGGAAAATATTATGAGAATAAAGATAGGTGTCATTGTTGAGCTTATTTATGCTTTTCTTCCTTTTATTAAGATTTAAAATAAATCTGCTTATCTGTATCAGGGGCTCCATGTTGATCAGGCATACTGCTTTGGGGCAGGGACTCGTTTGAAATTTTAAGGGATGTGGTAGATATACTTAAGAAAATGGCTGCCATAGGAACTTCCCTGTTCAAGAAATAGCTACAAGGACAACGTGAACAAAAAGTAAAATGACCTTCTAGGTTGATCATCCCTGTGAGGAGTTTGTAAAGCTCAAACAACTTCTAGCCGATAAATAACATTGTGTGATGTTTTACTATGCAATAAAATTATATAGTTCTGCATCTTGGTCATACGCAACTTGCTAATTGGTCCTATGAAGCCATCTGGTAACATCATTACCCTAGAATCAGACTCTTGGAACAGGAATGCTATCTGTGGGTTTGGGAGTTGACTTCCACACACCTTAAAATTATTGAGTTGAGAAACACTGTCTTAGGCAAATGAGTCCATCCTCCTGATTATGGAATTAGAAGAGGAAAGTTAAAAATGGTTGTACCATTTTTGCTTGATTTGAAATATTTAAGGAAATTCAACATTTCTGCGAAAATAACCAAAATGCAGGGAGGAAGGGAAATAACTATAAAGGTCCTTGCTTTTTAAGATTTTACTGTATCATGCTAGAAGAAATGACTTGGTAACTTGGGCACTCGTCTTTTGAAGCCAGTGTTTTGCTGATGACAAAAGCAAACCAGTGTAAAAGCTAACTGAAAAAATAGATATTACTTTATAGACAACTGAAGCATTAATACCTGTTTCTGTTTTATAGTTTCCATCAGTGCTGAATACTCATGGACCATTTACTCTGTCGGGAATGGATGGGCCTTCCACTCCTGGCCCTTTCTCGCCAGATTTACAGAAGACTTAACATGTGGCCTTTTGAAAATGGACAACTTGGACTAAAAAGAGGAAGAGATTTTATTAAAAATGCTGCAATCCAGGTTTTAAGAGACAGTTTTTAATTCCATAGAGACAATTTAAAGTGACTTGGTTTTTGTTATCCTCAGTTCAGATGCCTTTGCAAAATTCTCTTTAAGACATATGAGAATTCATAAGGAAGTGCCTTGATTGTGGAAATTCTTCTCTAGAGTTTCTCTCTTCCCCGTTCCTTACTGCTTCTGTTGAATGAAGAAGGCTTCTTTTAACAAAGAACACACTTCTGTATTATAATGAGGTATTGGACAGAACAGCCAACTGATATCAGATGGTTTTTGACTGATATCCATCCATTCCTTTGCTTTTTGCTTTTTTATGTTAAAAAATTATTTCATGGAAGCTGGCATTCCAAGAAATACTTGGAAAGTGAATAAAAAGAGTTATTTTTTACAGTGAATTCCAATGATCTTAAAAAGTTTTAGCATTGCAACGTACAATAGTGTAGAAGAGAGTTGAGAAATTTTTTAATAATGGGTTGCTATGGGTAAAAAAGCTTTTTTTCTTTGGCACAAAAAATGTCATTTCATCCCTCACATAATAGTATGGTATTTTTGTATGCTTAAATGGCACAGTTATGCATAGATCATGGATTGTATTGCTTTGATCTTTCCAAAATATTTAAAGGTGTTAATATTTGATAAGCCAAGTCAAGAAAAATAAAAGCAAATCCCTTGTTATTTAATAAACAATTTTGTAGGTTGAGCTAACTCAAGAAACTTGCAGTGGATATGAAGTAGCACTGAATTAATAAGCATTTATTTGACATCCAATGGGTTATTGTCTTGCTTCTTGTTAATGTTGTACGTAAGTGTGACATTTGGGAAGTGAATATTTATTGTTTATTCTTTTTCCCTCTCAAAGAGGGAAAGAGACATACCTTCTCTTGGCCATCTGCATATTTATGATAGGTGTCCTTTTAAATATAAGTGGATTGGAGTTTTGAATGTTCAAGCCTTTAAAATTAAAAATGTGCCATTATTAGAAAGTATTCTGTCTAGTTAAATGTTTTGAGACCGGAGGGAGAAAGCACAAAGTGGCACATGCTGTTTGTAAACTGAAGGGAGTAAAATGTGTTTTTAGCTTGTACTTAATCTTGTGGGAAGATATTCATTGGATAACAACTTCAGCATGATGGTAGTTGAAACTTCTTTGCAAACATATGGCAACATAATAATGACTTGCTAAAGTAGGAGACTTGTTTAGGGACTAGAAATTGAAAGTAAAAATAATAGATCTAACACAAGCAATAGTAGTTGAATTGCAAGAAGATTCATTCTTTCTGCATAATATTTATATTCAGGCCCTGTTATATTTCAGAAAACACTTTAATTCTTGTTACTTCAATAGCCTAATTGTGTCTGAAAGAAAGTTGAAGTAGATATCAGCAAAGTGTTATAATCGTTTTTTCTGTGTTGAGGTGGGCTTGGTTTGAAAAGAACGAACAACCTGTGAGTTTTTATTCATATACTTACTCTGAACAGGCTTTATATGTTGGTTGGTATGCAAGAATGCCTCAAGGTAACATATCAGACTAAAGTAGGAGACATTTGCTGATTTATCTGCATTAAACTGTAGTTGGCTCCCTTGATCAGGCAGGGATTCAAAAGGCCCAATCCTGTCTCTTGTTGTACCTAATTGAATATACGTAGATCTATTTCAGTATAGAGATGTAAAACATTGATGGCAAGTAACAAAAGAGAGCCAGTTTGGTTTAGTGGTTAGAAATCTAATGAAAGCCAACTGATGACCTTGGGCCACACACTTTCTCTCAGTCCAACTTACTTCAAGGTTTGTTGCTGTGGGGAAAATAGGAGGAGGAAGGTATGTTGGATATGTTCTTTGCAAAAATTATAAAGGTGGGATTTGTTGTTGTTCAATTGCTAAGTTGTGTCTGACTCCTTGTGATCCCATGGACCACAGAATCCAGGCCCCCTGTCCTCCACTATCTCCTCCCAAAACCACACTCATTGTATTGATGGCACTATCTAACTATCTCATCCTCTGCTGATCCCTTCTCCTGTTGCCTTCAATATTTCCCAACATCAGGGTCTTTTCCAATGAGTCCTCACTTCTTATTTGGTGGCCAAAATATTTGAGCTTCAGCTTCAAAAGGCGGGATACACATAAATAAATAAAAATAAATAAAAACAAACTGACACAGCAGGCACGTCCAGGTCAGAGCAGCACTTTTTAAGGGCATATGTATTAAAATGAAATTTTGCTATATCTTTATGATGGAGAGTAATGGTGGTTAAAATATACATAATAAAATTTCTGCTCATCTCCTTTGCCAGTCAGACAACAGAAAGGACTGGCAGATTCCAATTAAATGTTTATAAAAATCTGATGGGTTTAGCCATTTGCATGGATGCTTCAACTCCTAAAGTTTCTCAGCCAGCGCTGGTTGGAAAAATTCTTGGAGTTGAAGTCCACACATTTGAAAGTTGCCAAGGTTGAGAATCACTGGCCTGAATGGCTTTTGTCTTCTTTGGGGGTTTCCCTTTTCCAGTATTGTGCTTTCCTATGTGGTACAAGGAGCAACTATATTTAGATTTGCAAGTGAACCAAAACTTAGATCATCCTGAAAGTAGTTTTGTTTATCCTAGTTTCACAAGCTAATCCCAATAGTCTCAGCAAAAATATTCTGCTACAAACCACTGGCCCTCTTATGCCAAAATCCAGGTATAGAGTTTCCATTTTTAGTGACTTAGCAGAACTCTGTCCTTTTATTTTATGGGAGATTTATGTGTAGAGAAATTTTGAATTTCTCTCTTCTTGCTTCGTCATTAATAAATCATTTCCTCTTATTTTCTATTTAAGAATGAGAACTGGAGAACTACTATATTTGGTATGAAAGAATCTTTAGCCATTACATAGCGACATTACCCAGAGAAGCTTCCCTCTGTATTAAAAAAAAAAAACCCTGTTGAAAACTTCTTTGTGATTTATTTAGACAGATATTTTATACTGGACTACTTCCTGATTGGTTGACCTGCTATTTTCTTTTTTTAATTTCATATGCTTACATTTTGAACAGAATTTTTGTCCCATTGCAACTGTTCACCTAGGTACTTCATTGCTATTTTCTAAAACCCATTTAGTAAATGTAAAAATTCCACTCTGGCAATCAAGGATGGAGGAAATGCAGGTTGAGAGAGAGACAGTAAAGGGTTAACCTCCATTTTACACCCCAGATAATATAGAATATTTTAATTTCCAGATTCCAGATCTAGATTTTATTTTGCTTTTCATGTATGCTTTCTTTAATTGTGTTAGGTAATAAACATTTCCATGCTTTCAGCTGTTAGATCATGTTAACATTAATCAGATGGTATCTTACTTTGATATGATTACTGATTAAGAAATATCTTTATTGACTTTTCTTAATGCCGTATTTTTCTCATCTGATAATTATAGAAAACAGCAATCTCTATATTTATCTTTACAATATTATTTTATATGTTAGCACAAATTGATATTCATTGGTTTTTACCTAATCAGTTAGTGGTTGGACAAATGTTGAGTCTCCTATATAATTATGTATAATTTTTGCTACTCTTTTATTGCATTTTATATAAACAATCATTCATTCAAAAGATTTTAATAGCCTGTCCAGATTATACTAGTTAGAACTCTGTGTTTTAAAGATAATTTTAAATTAGATACTACTTTTCAAGTATTAAAGTAAGCAGTGAAAATTTTATCTTTTACAAACTACATTTGTGAGGTCTCCCTTCCCTACCTCATAACTGGTGTGAAAACAGATTGTGAGAGGCCATAAAGGAACCTATTAATGTGAGGAAATGCCAAAGAACTTTAATTCTCCTTTGCTAATGTCTTGTGAATGTAAATCAGTGACATTTTAATTTAATACCAAATACTTCCTGAAGCTTGTTGATATTTCCAAAATTTTGGTTTAGAAAGAAGCATTCATGGTACTGGAAAAAAGTGAGCCATGGTTCTTAAGGGCTAAACTAGAGTACTTTTTCAAAATAAAAACTGAAATTAACTATCAGTAATTATCAGTGAGTGAGCCAAGTTGGTGTAATGTTGAAAGTCCCACTGATTTTAATAAGTATGAATATGTTAACAGAACATAGGCATCTTGAAGAAGTTAAAAGTGATAAAGCTGTTTTATAGCTCTGGATCAGATATGTCCAGTCTGCAGGCTGTATATGGCCCCTGGCAGCTAGTAACACAGACCCACAAAATAATAATAAATATTAAAAAATAAAGCTTTGTTATTTATATAGATTAACAATAGTATATATTTTATATGCAGCCCAAGACAGTTCCTCTTCACTCAATGCAGCCTAGGCAACTATGGTTGAAAAACTCTGCTCTCTACTCATTAATTAGGATTTGCACTAATGCTAAGAGTATCTTGACTTTTTCTTTGAATAGCTATTTGCTTTTTAGTTCCAGAAAAAAATGCTTCTGAAAGTAGTTCACAATGCTACTATCAAAGCTTGACTGATCTTGATAAAATATGAATATAATGTCAGACTATGATAGTACTGACATGATATCGTAGTTGCTGACCATTGTTTAAAAGAGCTTTCTAATGGGGTCACTCTTATAATGCTATGGAATGTTATTAATCACAGTGATGAAGCTAATTTGATTGCTTAGAGAAATTTATACCTAAGGCAATATTTTGTAGAGTTAAACAACCAGAATGGTATTCAGATTGTTTTAGTAAACATGATTGAAAGGTACTGCACTTTATGGCTGCAGTTTTTAAATTGAGTTGTACATTCAGGATTTGTAATACTATAGATCATTGTGTCATATTTCTCTTTTTGTTAAAACATAATTTTGAAGCTACTAAAATATCATTTTGTCCAAAAGTATCTTAAACCAATTTTCTAAAGATGAGTTAAAGAGTAGCATTAGCATTAGTCATACAACTGTGTCTCTCATATAAATAACCTGAATGGTTGAAATAGTTGTTACCATATGAATGTATCTTTGCTTGAAGCAGTTTCACGTTTGCAAATTAAATATTTATTTAGTTTTCCATTCCATGTTGGTACTGCTTAAATTGAAGGAGTAAGCTTTTCTTTAGTTGACGGGTCACAAAGCTAAATTGGTTTAGCATCTTTTATTTTCATGCTGTTGAAAAAGATATGAACGGATTGGCTCAAAATAAGATTTCTGTGTAATGATAAACCTCCAAAGTTGTATAGTTAGTGCATTGTTCAGTGTGAGCATTAATTTGGAATCCTTTTGCAGAGCTTTCTAGAAAAAAAATGTGGAACACACCAAAGATTTTACTAGTCCATGATCAGTCATATGCTACTAGAAAGGCCAGAAACACAGCTTTAAGGTAATATAAGGTTGGGGAGGCGGGCCAATTGAGAAAAAGGTCCAATAGATATGGCAATTTGAACTCTTGAAAGAAACGTGGAATATAAATGTGGCCCTCAATTAATACTCAATTATTCTTGTCCCAACTTTACTGTATCCCATTTCAAAGCCATCTTAAAGTCCGATATGGAACAAGTTCCTTAATATTACTTGGGCACTACGTTAATAACTGGAAGTTTTTAAAACTGTCTCCATATCTGGTTTTATTTTTTTCTTTAAATAAAATCTGTCTTTAGTATACCTTGTGTAATTAGAAGGGAAGAAGTAACGACGTTTTCCAATAGATCCTTTAAGCTGTGTTATTTTGTCTTAGGTGGTGCTTTAACTATGGTTGATATTTGATCTCTCTGTGTTCAGCTGCACAGAATTTTAAATACTAGAAATATTAGAATAACAAAACACTTGCTAAAACTTGTATGGGAAAGCCTCTTCTTCTAAATCCATGTAACAATGCATTGTTTGTATTTTTAATGCAGTTACCAAATGACCTTATGTAAACATAGTGGTTATGACAGTATTTTTTTGTATTGTTTCGACATGTTGACATGTTCATGCATGTTGTAAGAATATACAAGGGGAAATCTAGGTGGTGGAGGAATGGAAGAAATTAGACTAGGCCTTGATGTATATGTTGATATAACAAACATCTTTCAGAAATGAAAGCTGACACAATTAAATATTGTTGAAGTACTTTTAGTGCTTCACAAATACTTCTGCCAAAATGCTGTTTAGCTAGTACCTACACTGCAGCAGCAGTTAGTGGAGTTCTCTGCAAGGGATTGGTAATCATGAAACTTACTGTGGAATTTCTGACTTACATTGATGAATTAAAGCAACTTTGTTCGGTTTGCTCTGGTATTGCTAATGTTGCTGCAATTCCCATGTTAGTTACAAACACATACAGCCCTTGGTTTTTGTTTTCTATTTCAATGGTTACTTTTCCAGAATAATGTCTATTTTTGCCCAGCATATATATTGCAGACAAAAGTGAAATTATCTTAATTTTGGAGATGATAGCCAACTATGATGGTTAGTCCAAAAAGAATGAGAGTGGGTAAGGCCAGGTCCCTGAGCTTTTTCTTAGTGTAATTGCCTATTGGAAAACCTTTGCAGTTTCCTGTGGTCTTTGTGGGGCCCTTAAAGCAGGGGTCCCCAACCGCCGGTCCGCGGACCGGTACCGGGGCGCGGAACAAGTCTTACCGGGCCGCTGGTTGCTGGGCGCCGCCATCTTTTTTTGGTAAAAAAGTGCTTCCGGTGAGCTTTTCCGGGTAGAAAGCTCACCGGAAGCACTTTTTCATCAAAAAAAGATGGTGGCGCCCAGTTGACGCCGGTACCGGGCCGCGGCGCCCAGCTGATGCCGGAACCGGGCCGCGGCGTCGAAAAGGTTGGGGATCACTGCCTTAAAGGATATGAAAATCAGTTCTAGCTTCTCTTCCCTCGTCTGATGCTCTCATGGGTTTGGGATGTGTTCTGCAATATCTATGTTGGTACATCTATGGGCTGGGTTGGAAATATTAAATATTTCTTAACATTTGTCAGATGTTCAGCCTTTTGCCACAAGAGTCAAGTGAATTTACCTAGGGAAATGTAGCTTGTTGTTCTTTTAAAAAATTGAAACCCTATACATTTTATATATTTAGTATATTGCCATTGTGTAAAATAATGTTAATATATAATAAAATTGCACGCATAGCCAAAGTTTTCAGTAAGTTTTCAGTATTATTTTCTTGACTACAAGAATATCTAGACAAGGCATTAGGCAGACTTTCATAATATTAAGGTGTTTATAAGAAAGGAGAAAAATCTGTATCTTCAGTAATAATTTTAATTACCAAATCTGATTCAGAGCTTTGCAAGGTTAATCTTACATTTCTCAAGCACAGTTTGGAGGCCTAATTGCTTTAAAAAATGATATATTAGTTACTGCACATCCTAACATAATGAAATTGTTCCTTGAGAAAGCAGT